GTGTGTGTGTGTGTGTGTGTGTGTGTGTGTGTGTGTGTGTGTGTGTGTGTGTGTGTGTGTGTGTGTGTGTGTGTCAGACATCAGCAGAAATATTGAATGTAACATTGAACATAAATGGTCTTAATGTTATAAAGATTAAAAGAAAAACTGCCTGTGCACTCACAGATAAAGTTAAAATGGGTTATATTTATTTTAAAAAGCCCAACACTGTTCATTAAGACTACTCATCTTTAAATGGTTTTAACAGCAATATTAAATTCTAAAACATGAGGTTAAGTTTTCCTGTTTTAAATTTAAGATAATGTATCTCACATCAGATATCTGTTGACTTTCAGCTATTACCATACAAAATGTCAGTCTCTCTATTCAGTTACTTGTTTATTATATTTTCATTTATATTTTAATGTCTTAAATAAAGTAATAGATGCGGTACTATCTGTTTAAATGTCTTAATGGTGGTGTTATTGCTCATCCTAATAACATTATTTAATTGCTGTCAGAAGAAACGCAACACAAGCGTTTCCCTGTTGGTGCGCTTGGTTAACTCACCCGGTCGACTTTGTTGGGCGGTGATTCTCCCAAACAATGAATCACTTCTGTTCATCGAAAACCCCGCCCTCCCCACACCGTCAGGACAGTTAAAACGAATGCCACACAGGCGGGTAACGCCACCGCTGATTGGCTGACAGCCTCAGACCGTCTTCAGTCAGCTGGAGCTGCAGGAAAACAACGTTTTTACGTGTTTTTATTTCTCCACGCTCGGTGTAACTCGTAGCCATGTTTCTGTGAGCACCGGTGGGGCTCCGGTACATACGTTACTGCGTGGAAAGCGGGACTGTAACATTGTTGAACATATCTTTTAACCAGTAGGTGAGTGCTAACACTAAAGCTAACAGATGTTCAATTAGTAAACGAGCTAGCAGCAGCCCGGCAGCCAGCTTAATGAGCAGATTAAAATGATCAYATAATAAAATAATTAGCTTGATAATCAGGAGCTGTGTGTTAGAAAAGTCATATACATTATATCGCGTGTTTAAGCTAGGTTTTGATAGCCTTAAAGCTAACTAGCAACAGCTGCTAAGCTAGTTTAATTTGTCTCCAAGGTGACGGTGGCTGTCGCTTCTTCTCCCATCATCAGCCCGGCTCTCTCGGTCTCTGCTCCACTCTCTGGTTCCCTGTCTGGAGCACCGTGTCGCGGATGAGCGAGCCTGCGGAGCCCGGTCGGTGCCTGTCGGTGGTGGTTGTCCGGGCCAATGCCAGCGGGGAGCTCGACATAAGCAGGCGGCTCGATGAGATGTCAGAGCGGGGATGCCTCTTCCTGCTGGGGACGCTTCTTCTGTAGTCGACGGCCCAACAAGTGCTGACACGTATATGGATGGTGGGGTGGCAGCATGCCCACCGCTTCAACGACCACCGCTACTCCGCAGGCTGGAGGGAGCAGCGGCTCCGGAGCAGAGGAGGAGCCCCTCGTGTCTGACTCCGCCGGCGGCTCCTCGGCCCGCTTCGTCCCGGCGTTCTGCCTGGGTGTGGTGGCGGCGGTGGTGTTCCAGCTGGCCTGGGGAGGCCTGACTCTGACCTCCTTTTTCCTCAAGCTCTTCATCTATGTCTCCTTCGCCCTGCTGTGTTTCCTGGCCGGGAGCTTCGTCCTGCTGGTGAGGAAGAGCCCGCTGAAGGTCAGCTGCTTCAGCAGGAGGCAGCCGGCCGCACGGCTGGACTTCTTCAACAAGCTCATGGTAGGAAGCTGGGGCCTGTCACAGTTAACACCTGGCTGTTAACACCTCACAACAGCACATCTCACTGTTAACACCTTCACTGTTAACACCTCACAACAACACACCTCAATGTTAACACCTTCACTGTTAACACCTTCACTGTTAACACCTCACAGTTAACACCTGGCAGTTAACAACATCACTGTTAACACCTTCACTGTTAACACCTCACAGTTAACACCTGGCAGATAACAACTTCACTGTTAACACCTCACTGTTAACACCTCACTGTTAACACCTCACTGTTAACACCTTCACTGTTAACACCTCACTGCATACACCTCACAACAACACACCTCAATGTTAACACCTTCACTGTTAACACCTCACTGTTAACAACTTCACTGTTAACACCTTCACTGCATACACCTCACAACAACACACCATCACTGTTAACACCTCACAGTTAACACCTCACTGTTAACACCTTCACTGTTAACACCTCACTGTTAACACCTCACTGTTAACACCTCACTGTTAACACCTCCACTGCATACACCTCACAACAACACACCATCACTGTTAACACCTCACAGTTAACACCTCACTGTTAACACCTTCACTGTTAACACCTCACTGTTAACACCTCACAACAGCACATCTCACTGTTAACACCTCACTGTTAACAACTTCACTGTTAACACCTTCACTG